TGAAAGTCGGATGCTAGAGAGGGTCGCAAAAACCAGACGCGATCGGCTTGTCCCAAGGTGAAGGTCTGCGCGCGAGGTCATGAAGCACTAGGCGCTAAGCTCCTGAACGTTCAGATTGTCGCAAGCGTACTCTCTCCTTACGTTCAGGTCTCTCTTACATCTGAGGTGCATATTTTCCTTTCAGAACGCCACAAGCCCCCTACAGGGTCCAACTCAGAGCTCACTTGTTCCTACCGCCAGGTCGTTCGCACACATCGGAACCGGCTGGTGGCAAATTGGCGGTGTAGTCAACAGTGGGGGCTGACTAAGCCCGTTGATCCCACGTATACTCGATGTAGGACCAGGGACTGGGGTGAAGCATGACCCGGTGGGTTTCGTCATTTCGGGAAATTGCCGGTGAGGAAGGATCTTCTGAAGATGTAAGCAATTTCACCTAGCACTCCTGCGCTATGTACTAACCTTTTCCTATCCAGCTTCTCTAGTAGATTCGGAAGCGTACTCGGTAAGTATGGAGCACTACGCCTCAGACACTCAGCTGGAATCGTTGCTCCTAGTAGACTCGAACTCGTTGATACCGCGCAATGGTGGGTGCGAACCTTGCGAATACCGAACTCAGTCTTCGTGCCTATCCACTCCACATATCTTACCAACCGAAAGCCACAGGAGTAGGGCGTTCACGCTCGCGTGAGCAAGCTACTAGTGACGTGCTCCGAGTCTGAGACCCTGAGGCCTGATACCCTATGGCAGCCTATGGCATATCAATAATATTAATGTTATCTTTAGGGGTTCTGAACCTTCTGAACTTCTGACTTCCCCGCCCGCTGGATCTCTACATCTCGGGATCTTGATACAGTACTCCACCATCAGCCACCAACACGAGCGACACGGCGCAAGGTACGTATATCGACTGCGAAGGTATCATTTGACTCCTACAGTACGGTACCGCATGATGCAACAGACCCGACTAACTGCTTTGATAGTACTAGTCTGATAGGGAGTTATTTGGAACTAGTGCGAGTGCGGGTACGAGTGCCACTGCCTCCGTTGCGCAGTCTTTGGACTCGGAAACCTCCATCCTGGCTAACTCACTCCTTTGCTGGAGGCTGAGGAGGTACTGTATCTCAGAGTTTGGCAGACGCCTCACGAACATACGCTCCGCATGAACAAGATTGCGATGGGACGAAAGGGGTACGAGGTTGTACGTATCATAGGCTCTGTCCTTTTCTGTCATGCTGATGCTACGTGCCATTCAGGCTCGCGATTCCGTCAGTAACGGGCACAATATCAACCGCTGACCCACCCTGCGCACCAGAGTTTCATGCACTATAGCTACGCGACCCGATTAGACGAGCCTGATCCCGGAACGCGTTGTATGACCCTGTACAAACCCTTGAGCTTCCTCCAGACTTCCTTTCCCTTTCAATTGAAATTGGTTCCCTCCGGAGCCGCAGCAACTTGAAGTCCTAGTACTAGTGCACGTGGGGTGGAGCCCTCAGTTCGTATGTATGGGAATTCCACATCCGCCAGTACTGTAAGTACTCCACTTTATTTCACCGAATCGGAAGAGGGGTCGCAGTGCGAAGTCACGGTGCCGCTCTTCGACGCTGAGAATTGCGTATCCCGAGATTCAGGAGTCATGTATTCATGGTGAGCGCATCTTCAGGGTACAGTTCTTACTCCAATGCGCGCCCAGATAGCGAGGAACAATATTCACCTATTCCCCGTCACGATGTGATCGTCAACGGAACAAACGTCTCCAACTTACATGTTTCATGCGAGGCGGATTCTATTGGGTCTCAATTTAAACCCCTCCGCCTCCGTTATAGCGGTGCACGTGGAATGGTATCAGAAGTACGTCCTTTTTGTATTGTATGAGACTTCTGCACTCCATTTTACAGGATTTCACCGAGCGGGGCTCGTTCGAAGTACGGTTTATGCTTCAAGGCTTCCTACGTGTTCGTGTCAATCCGTGAGGCCGGGACTCATCAAGAACGTGGCTAGCGGAATGCGCGACCCTGGGTTTTGGTATCTGGTACTCGAGGAGTAAATCCGGTACGCGATGCCTCCAATTGTAGCGTTCGCCTTTGCTGACGTCGGAAGTGAGTCCGAAGATGAGTGTGATGAGCGAATCCGACAGCAAGCTCGTCAAGCTATACGCCGCAGTCTATGTAAGTGGCTTGATATCTACGCGTATTCGGTGTGCACTCAGTGTCGTCGACAACATTATACTGAATCCGTGTATAGGTGCCCAGAGGGCCGGGTGATCCCATGATAGTCATCATGGCATCTATTCAAAGCGACGAACAGTTGTGGATGAGACCACGAAATGTCACTCATCAGAACGGAGACGGGAAGTTCAAGGGAAGTCCGTGTCAACTTAAGTTCTTGCCAATGAAGATGAAGAGATCGATGGTGCAACGGTAAGCACCCTCTTCTATCTGTGTTTCAGGATGACTTCCATTCATACGGTATCACAAGGTCGCCGTGTCGCATCTTGCGGTCATAATACTCGTCAGTCAACTACTCCACCATTGACGATTGAACCTCGGCAGGATTCTACTCCGCCATGCGATGCAGTACGCACTCCATGACCCATACGCAATCCAGTGCTGTCTCCGTTCTAAGCAACGCGCAACTCAGGGCTTCTCATTGGTTGGAGCTTCAAGATCACACGAGTTACATGGCGGGTGGTCATGCAGCCTCTCTTGCTGTGGAGTAACTCAGCATGCGAACAGCGACGAATATT